GGGCGCGTTCTGTGTCCCAAGGTCAATGGGGAGCAGGTAGCCGGAGAGCCGGGGGGGGGGGTGGCCCAGGGGCACCCAGGAGACTCACCGAACAGGCGGCCAGGGCGTGAGCTCCCGCGAGTCCCCGCTCGCTCCTTCCGAACGGTGACTCACGGGAGCTCGTCGCCTGCCACATGTGTGGTGAGCCCTTGACGAAGGTGCTCCTGGACCCCCCTGGCGAGGGGGTTTCTCCGGCTCGGAAAGGGTTAACGTCTCCTGGCAGCGCCGGGCACCCCCGGCGGGACGAAGTCGTGATGAGACCTTAGCGCCTTGGTGTTTCGTCATGCCGGCCACATGACCACGGAAACGTCTTCGGACAGCGCTGGCTCTTCGGCTTGGAAACGGAGATGAGCACCGCAACCCTAGAGTCGGACTCGACTGGCTTTCCAGCAAGGGAACCTTTACCAGGGGCGGTGGAGGGGCTAACGGGAAGGCGGCCTCTCTTTCAAAACGAGCCCGCTGCTCCGGGGAGGCCTTCCCAACGGGGCCACAGTCTCGCAGCATCTGAGCTCTGGTGGGTCCATGTGGCTCTTTCGAAAACCGTCTTTCTAAGCCTTTCCCGGTATGACCCAATCCTAGCAGAGGCCGAAGATGCGTGCCGCCTCCTCCTCCTCCTGCTTTCTCCCCTGCTCTTCTCGAGACTAGAAAAACGACCCCGCATTTTGCATTTCTCCTGTCTTAGGGACAAGGTGGCACAGGGAAGCCTGCCCCTGGGTGCCGTATTCACACTGGCCCCTTGGCTTTTTTGTCCTATGTCAGGTGCCGCATGACGGACTGAGCTCCTGCCAACCTAGCAGTTCGAAAGCAAGAAATTGCAAGTAGATAAATAGGTACCCCTTCGGTGGGAAGGTAACAGCGTTCCGTGCGCCTCGGTGTTTAGTCATGCCGGCCACATGACCACGGAGACGTCTTCAGACAGCGCTGGCTCTTCAGCTTGGAAACGGGGATGAGCAACCCTAGAGTCGGATTCGACTGGCTTTCGAGCAAGGGGAACTTTTACCTTTACTGTGCATAGTTATATTCTAGTTTCTTTGTCTCGGTCTCTGTGACCCACAGGTTCCCTTCCTGTGTCTCCAGAGAGGCTTATGGCTGGCCGCCTCCTTCTGCCTTGACTCTGATACAGTTTCTGTGTTCTTTTTTTAAAAAGGGTGCTTCTGTGAGGGTTGGGTGTATACCAAGAACAGAAACTGGTTTTGATGGGCAGCCGTGTCGGTTTGCAGTAGGACAGCGAGGTTCTCTTGGTGCTGGGGACGCTTCCTCCATGCACCCCCTCCCCTGTAACTTTTGCAGTGGGGGATGAATTCTTGCCCTTTGTGTACTTTTCAAGGCTGTTGTTCTTGGGTGTAAAAATGGGTTTGAATCATAGAATGTTAGAGTTGGAAGGGACCTTGCAGATAGCCCTACATACCTACATCCCCTACCAAAGGCCAAACGTTCCTGCCTAGATCTTGCATCGTTCCGTTTTATGGACAATATCAACTCAATGCTTATCCCCACCCCCAACAGTTCCATTTTAGTGTCATGAACTGTTCTTTTCCCTCCTCCCCAGTTTTTGGACCGTCATTGACATCGTGGAACAAAGCCAAACCTATCAGACCTTTTTTTTGCTTGCTTGCTTGCTTTGGTTAGGTTTAACAAATTTAGAGTCCAGTGGCACCTTTGAGACCAACGAAGGTTTATTCCGGGTATGAGCTTTTGTGTGCGAGGCACACTTTATCAACTACGTTAGAATGACAGGCAAGGTTCAGACTTATAGCCAGAGAAGGAACAGCAAATTGACACACCACATGATGATGATCAAGATATGTAAAATGACACTAGATAACAAGTTTAGGTTTGTCATAATTTAAAACGTTGCAAACTGTTCCCAGGGAAGACTGGCAGCAAAAAGGATGTTTAAAGCAAAAATAGGAGGGGTCTTTGCCCTACCTCTGCCCACACAAGCCCTCATCTTTCAGCAAAATGTATTTGAAATGCACTCGAGTAGAGCCTGCTGGGTCTTTCTCCATTGCTAGACGATTATTTTTAATGAGCCAAGGGAGGGGGGCAGGGCAGGGCTTTCTGGGGGGGGGGAGTTGGGATGAATGTTGGGCCAGTTCTCCTTTTGTGGGTGACCGAGAGCCCTGGGCATCCAGGGTTACACTGGAAACCTCCAGAGAGTTCTAGTTGGAGGATGAGGAGGGGATTCTTTTGGGGAGGGGGTTTTCTTTGAGCAGTCTTGCCGCCGTCGTGCAGTCCCTACTCAGTTTACTCCCATGGCCTTAGATTGGAATAAGATTGAATAGAAAGTGCTCTGGCCATAAATTCTAAGTGCCTCGTGGGGGAAGCGTGTGTGTCTGGTCTTCCCCTCTCCCGCACGCTGCGCTGCGCTCAAGCACATGATGCAACACGACATATTGGTCTGTGTAGCACCTGTTCGAACTGCATTAAGGGAGGATTGAGAGTAAGCTGATGTGTTCCGGGAAGTGCTTTGGGGAGACCCTTCTAGACAATTGAGGAAACAGGCTGGTGGTTCAACCGCTTTTTTAAAAAAACAGAAGCCAGAGAACATAATGTGGCTCTAGTTCCTGGTGTGTCATCATGTCTTGATGCAAATGTTCCATGCCACAGTTTTTTCATCCAAGGAGACATGATAAACATTGTTCAGAAATCAGTGATGGCTGCGGAGACCCTGGCAAGATGCAGGAGTAGAGGATTTGGCTGGCAGACGCCTCCCCCCAAGTACTCCAAGTTCAGTCTTCCGCCATTCAGTGGGGTTAGGTGACAGACTCAAGGTCCTGTATTGTGTCAGTGGCAGGATCTGCCACTATACAGCTTGCTGCTAGAAAGAGGCTGTGTGGCAAGGCATGCTTATTTGGGCTGAAGCCCCCCTCGAATGGGGAAGGCTTGCTCTTGAGTAAAACACCCCTAAGGTCTGCGCTTTATAGGTGAGGTGATCATCTTGGGTTTGCGGCATGTTGCAAGGTGGAAAGGCTAGCATCTGGAGGAAACAGTCCATCCCAGCATCCATCCCTGCCTCCTAGAGCAACAAGTCCCGTAAGGGGCTTGTGGAACTCACCGCCACAGGATACAGTGATGGCCACAGATAGGTTCGGAAAAGGGCTGGATAAACTAGTGGAGGTCATCCGTGATGGCAAGACGGAACTTCAGAATACCGGTCAATGCTCATCGCGGGGAGGCACAACAGGATGAGGCTTCCGAGTCTGCCCTGCTCACCTGCTTTCCAGGCACACCTGGCTAGCTGCCGTGTGGAACAGGATACTGTGTTCGATGGCCCTTTGGCTCTTGCATTCTTGTGTGCAGTTCCCCACATGGGGAAAGCTAGTATGCTAGGGTGGCGACTCCTAGGTCTAGTTTTCTCAATGACATAATAGTCTTCTAGATGAAAGGAGCTTCCGTCCTGTGAGCCTTCTCACCTGTGCCCTACATAACCCAGAAACAGCTTTGCTGCCGGGGAGAGGCTGACCATGACCAGTGTTCCCTCTAAGCTGAGTTAGTGTCAGCTACCTCACAGTTTTTTAGCCTCTGGTCACACATTTTTGTCTTTGCTCAGGAAGGATGGCTCCAGAGGCAAACTAATTGATGCAGCAGCCAAATCGCTCACTCGCCGCTTTAATGCCAGTAGCTCACAAAGTAGATTTTTTGCTTGCAAGACTCTACAGCTTAGAGGGAGCATTGGTCATGACGGCTAAATGACCCCCCCCCCCTCTGCTGAGGCTATCTACCTCTGAATGAAAGAGGCTGTAGGGATTTATGCTCTGAGTATTGGGGGGGGGGGGCTGGCCACCAGGGCAGGTCGGCTGCTGGAGTCGATGGACCTCTGGTATGCGAACAAGGGCTCAGCTCTGAGGAGTGTATGTTCTGTTAAAATATATTTTGGAGGCAGTAGGATTAATTCCGGCTAAGCCTCTTTTATGCGGGGCTTTTAGAAAAAGATTAGGAAAAAAAAGAAACGTTTTAAATCCTTTAACTCCCTTCCCCACCCCTATTGTTAAACCTGCGAAGAAAGCCGTGACGGTGCTTTGGAGTTTGTCTGGCATAGCTTCTGGCTTCCCCTTGAACCCCTTGTAAATATGTCAATGCACTCTTTACTCAATGTAAAGGTAAAGGTTCCCTTGCTCGCAAGCCAGTCGAATCTGACTCTAGGGTTGCGGTCAATGTTCCCTCTAAGCTGAGGTAGTGTGAGCTAGCTCATAGTTTCTTAGCCTCCGGCTCACACATTTTTGTCTCCGCTCAGGAAGAATGGCTCCAGAGCAAACTAAGTTATGCAGCAGCCAAATCGCTCGCTCACAACTTTAATGCCAGCAGCTCACAAAGTAGAATTTTTGCTCACCAGACTCCGCAGCTTAGAGGGCACCTTGGTGGTGGTGCTCATCTCTGTTTCAAAGCTGAAGAGCCAGCACTGTCAGAAGACGTTTCCGTGGTCATGTGGCCGGCATGACTAAACACCAAGGCGCACGGAACTCAATGTAGAGGCATTGAATTATAAAGATTCCAGCTGCTTGGTTTTATAACCAGTGGGGTGCACTGGTTAAGAGTGTCAGGCTAGGATCTGGAAGACCCAGGTTCGAATACCCTTCCAGAAATGTGGATTATAGAATGACAGAGTTGGAAGGGGCCAGACAGGCCATCTAGTCCAACCCCCTGCTCAATGCAGGATCAGCCTAAAGCATCCCTGATGAGTGTTTGTCCAGCCACATGTAGGGGGAAACAGTAATTCTGTTGCATTTGACTTAACTGAAATGCGAACA